CTTCCTTCCTTCCTTCCTTCCTTCCTTCCCTCCTTCCTTTATTTTTTCCTTCCTTCCTTCCTTCTTTCCTTCTTTCTTTGCTTTCTTGCTTCCTCACAAACTCAGACCAAACTCAGAATGTCCTTGAAAACTCAGATTTGATCTCATCCTTTTTAGTATATGAGCCCTGATAGGCTAGCGCAGAGGTGTCAACACAATTGAGTCCAAAATTTTTGTTATTATGCAAGGCAATTTTTAAATGAGTCCTGATCCACTTTACATCCTTTTTTTGGCATGATTGTTAAGCAAATCACTGCAGTTAAGGCTTCAATCATTTCCCTGGCTGTTTTTGTACCCGCTCGGCCAACAATTTTGGTAGCTGCGAAATTGAATGTGCATCCTTGTTTGCTGCAATGTGAGGCTACTAGTGAGAGTTTGGGCCTCCTCATCTGACCATTCTTGCAATCTGGTAAAAGCATGGCTTCCTTTCTCCTTAACTTGACTAATAGCCCAAAATTTCTTCTCTCAATGATTCAATGCTCCTGTATGATGTGAATCCCAACGCTCAAGGGAATAAGGCTTTGAATAACTAACTCAAGAATTTGTAGGAAGTTTCTGGCACCAAAACTCCGTTTGGGAAATCAGATTACTTTAAAAACTTGGAAGGCCAATGGAGAGATTATGCTGATGTACCAATCAAAGGTATTTATGCAACCCCAAGGCACTAAAAACCAGCATCCTGACCTGCCTTGTTTTTTAACATGTTTATAGCATTAAATTCCATCAAAAGATTGAAAACAAAGTGCAATGAAACTTCTTGCTTTTTTTTTTCCAGGCAGCTGTTTCTTTTCAACATCATACAATATGTTGGTGATTTACAGTAAAAACAACTGCCCTGAAATGACAAGTCTAATATCTGGATGATGCGATCACTTTTCTATTTTTATTCTTATTTTGTATGTACAGGAATGTCTGTAAACATCTACTTGGTTTAGCATGGGCCAGCAATGCAGTATACAAAAACAAACCATTAAAAGCAAATTATGAAGAAACAGGTTCAAGAGCCGAAGTATTTCAGAACTAAAAGGAGCAGAAATATGTTTTTTTCAATCTCTGTACTGAAAATTATTAACAGCAGGACAGCTTCAATATGCTTTTACTGGTACCAGAAAATTTGCTCAAATAATGCCATCTTATCTTCTTCCCAGGGCAGAGTAGTTGAAAAGTTCTTTCTCATCTTTCTGATCCTTCTAACTTTTTTTTTGAACAAATTGTTGTTTGGGGAAAATAATTTTAGGAATGACCATACCAGAAGAAGATGCTGAAGTGGGTCAAGGAAGCAAATATTGCCTGGTGGCGATAGGAAGACTTCAGGTAAAAAATGCTTTTTGGTTACAAAAAGGCTTGCTTATTTATTTGTTTGCTTGTTTTAAATTATTATAAAAGCTATTCTCCAAAGCACCGGAGGGCAGGGTGAAAAACAATGGAGGGAAACTAATCAAGGAGAGAAGCAACCTAGAACTAAGAAGAAATCCCCTGACAGTGAGAACAATTAATCAGTGGAACAATCCAGAAATTGTAAATACTCCAATACTGGAAATTTTAAAGAAGAGATTGTACAGCCGTTTATCTGAAATGGTATAGGGCTGAGCAGGGGGTGGACTACCGTGTTTCTCATATAATAAGGCTGGGTCTTATTTTTTTTGAGCCCCCCAAAAATGGCTAGGCTGTCTTTTCGGGGGTGACTTAATTCCCCTCCTTGCATCTTCGGGTGGGTGGCGACGGCTTGGATGTTGACCTCGGTGTTGGTGGGAAACTTCGTATTGGGGTCAATGCAGGCAGCACCATATCCGGGTATGCAAGAAAAGTACTTCCTAATGGCAAACTTCCCCCCCATCCCCCCCCCATTTCACATGTTTTAATATAGGCCTTAATTTGGGGGGAGGGGCTTAATTTCATTTCATGCCTATAAAACATGCTGGGACTTCCTATTGGGGGAGGCCGTATTGTTGGAGAAACAGGGGAGAAGATCTCCAAGGATGCTTCCAACTCTGTAATTCTATTCTAAAGTGGACTTCAAATTACAACAGTAATCCTAGCTGAAAATATGAGGCCAATAGAGCAGAAGTATAACAATGCTACCAGATATATCACTATCCGAATACATGTAAGATCTACATACTTCATTGTGTATAATTCAGGACTATGGATCACTTCTTGATGTCTAGAGGTGTTATTCTTCCCTACTAAGGAATCTGTTTGGAGTCAAAGCTGTGGTTCATCTAACGCTTAAGATGGATAGTCTTTCTGCTATGTATCACATTATCTCAAAGATAAGAGACAGGACTGAAGTCAACACAGGTTACAATCAATGCCCAAAGTAGAATGGTACCTCCATTCTTTTGCAACATTCCCCCTTTCCATCTCTTCAACCAGCAGCCTATAGGGAAAGGAAAAGCATCTCTTACCAAAAGTCTGAAATGTTCTCCTGCTGCAGGCTTTGGAAATTACACCAAAGGCTATTTGTATGCTACCGTATGTCCAAGTTTTGCCGCTTCGATGCACCTTGCAGCAGGGATTCAACACATTAAGCTGAGGAAGATTGGTCTACTTGGTAGAGACTCTCCATCATTGGTTTTCATACTGGTTGGAGATGCAAGCACACCGAATGCAGTCAGTGATGTCATGCATACACAATAAGAACTGACTGGGTGGGGAAGGGAGGGGAGGGGAGGGGTGGGCAGAGAGGGGCAGGGTCAGCCAGGGGCACGATTTGTCGGTTCTCCGAACTGCACAGAATCCTAACTACCAGTTCTAACGAGTCTGAACTGGTAGAATACTACCCCTGGCTGCCCAGCTCTTTTTGAAAACCTCCAGTGATGGAGCATCCAGAACTTCTGGAGGCAAGGAAACAGCATCAAGAGGACCTTGTCCTGATTCTTGACTTGTGATGACCATTGGTCTTTTATTTTGAGCAGAACACGAGGTTCCCCATCACAGGTTGAATCCATACACACAGATCAGAGTCAATGGGCAATAGGAGTGGCAAATTTTCTTTGAATAGGACAAAACCAGGGGTCTTATTTTACATAGTGACTAATCAGGTAAGCTGCATACAAGAATAAGACGACTACACTGGTTTTTCCTGAATATTATTAAAGGTAGATATGCTCATGTAAAGTCCTTGACACTGGAAGTCTTTAGTCTCATTTGGTTTTCTGTGTCGCTGACTTCCTTGAAGAGGCAAAGTGTGGTCTTGGCACTGCTGACTTTTATGCCTTAAGTATGAAAGCCAAACATTACTTTGGGGTTGCAGAAACAGGGAGAGGAAGAACATAATCTGCTAACAATGCAGCTGTCAAAATAAGACTGCAGTTCCAAAGGATTATTCACGATATGTAGAGAACCAAAAGCCTTTCACCCAAGCCACGCTGTGAGGTCAACACTAGGGAAGTGTCACCACAAAGAAATCAGGAAGAGTGCACACGATGAACTCTTCTCTCCCCAGGAAGTACATAATCCAGCTGGAAGCCGGAGCCCTTCTCCTTCCTTAGGGTGACAGGTTGACACGATTTCAGTTCTGGGGGAGACCATTTAAGGGCTAACAATGCTGGGACGTGCTTCTTTGCTTGAGAAGTGCATCTGGCACTGTGGGACAGAGAGAGAAGGGTTCACACAAGAGCAATCTGGTCTAGTGCCCATTTTGTCACAATACCCTCTGTACTCGCATGGTTTTCTCAGTTGGCCAAGATCTCTCTCACTGCTGCCAAAAAGTTGGATTGCTCCTGAAAAACTCTGTATCGTAGGTACCACTTTCTAACTCACTGATTTATCCCAATGACTATATTCCTCAGCAGCAGTTTTCTGGGAAATTTTCATTCCTGTTTGCAGGTGCATTCAGGCAGTTTGGGGCCTGATTTTCAAGGGAATGATTAGCACCAAACGGAGTTCTTAGTATTTTAAATCTTTTGCTTCCGATGTTCTGGGTGTTTTGAGCATTTTTAAGAAGGTTATTTGGGAAACCCAGCCTGGCCTTTGTTTTAAATATTTAATTGTCCTGCATGCCAGACCTTCCTTTGTCCTATCTGATTGTTTAAATGATCGTCCCCATTTAAGATGGGAAGTTACAGGCTCAGATCCATAACCATTCGATCTTCTATTGAATGTTGCATCAAGTTATAAACTGTTATGCAGTTTTCTTTCACAAGCATCAATAAAATCCTTTCTTGTAAACTGTATTTTGATTATTCCCCCCACCCCCTGCCATTTTTATGAAATAAAGCATGTGTACATTATTTTTCTCAGGTGACCAGTTCGCCGGTGTGCATGGATATGAATGGAATGTCAGTCCCCACAGAATTCTTATCCAGGCATAGCTCCGATGGAATAATTACCTTTGTGGATCCAAGATGCATCAGTGTTATTGGCTATCAGCCCCAGGTCTGTTCATTCTTTTTGCCTAAGTTGCCAAATATTCAGAGTTTGCCTATGAATATTTCTAAAGAGGTCCAGAGTCAGAAATGGAGGGCTGGGTTCTCAAGAGGAAGGAGGAAAGGAAAGGAAAGGAAAGGAAAGGAAAGGAAAGGAAAGGAAAG